TTTGTATTTAAATTAAATCATAGTACCTTTATATACCTGTATCGACATCTTTTCGCTGATAATATTGATTAAATTTTATCTTCCTTTCATGGCGTTGTGCAATATTGGATGTTGTTATTAACATTACCTTAATGAACCTTCATGACTTTCATAATTATATTAAGTTTATTATATGTTCCTTCAATGTAACGTGTCTCTGGTTAGTCAGCATTAAACAAGTATTGTTTTTTACATGTAGATGTTGTCTCATTACATTTTATATTTTACCATTGCTTAAAGGAACTAAATCGCTAATATTTGGGACCAAGAAATTGTCACAAATGGGTCGCAACGCACATAATAATGTAATATGAATGTATATAAACTGATTTACATTAAATCGGTTCTGTTTTTACTCTAATTTATAATCAATCAGCTATGTTCGGCGACACACGCCAGAAGTCTCAATCGAATGGCAGTCTCTAGTGCCTGGTTATTCCAGTCTACACCGATAGTATTTGTTGCGCATGCTCTCCAGATAAGAATATGTGGTCACCCCTTGACATGACTTGTTGAATATGTCTAGCCTCGTTCTTCGAGTCCCTTATAACAAATGGCACCGAAAGGCATTATGGTACACGATTCGTGTACCAATGGTCAAATGCTTATTTTATCTTAAATATTGGATATCAGAAGCCCATCTTTTCAGGGTAAGATCACAACATTCATGTTGATTTAAATTGACAAATAATTCGTGTTTTCAATGTCGAAGACTTCGAATGATATTGAGTTAGAGACTTAGCTACTTTAAATACTAGAGAAGCCTGGTCGAAAAGTCGTTCAGTATGATAAGCAGTAATTATATTTCATAGAATGGTGACCTATGTGAATCATGGTGTGTTTGACGTAAATCATTTGTTATAAATTATTCATAGATGGATTTTAGATGTTGAGACCTAGTACTGTTTCATATAAATATACTTCAGGGGTATTCATATAGTAAACCTTTTCTAACGTTCATAATACCTGATATTACACTGTTGAAAATAAATGTAAAAAGACATAGGGGCCCGACAAGGATAACTGTCTAGTCGTTCGGATGGGACGAAACACCGAGGTCCCGTGTACACGTAAAAGATCCCTATTAAAATTATATGTATATTTACTGTTATAAGTATACTTATAATACAGTGTCCGATTTGTAATATCACATAGTTTGTTAATTTACATTTGAAACGATGTAAATGTATATGAATACAAAGCGTATGTAAGATTACATCAAACTTAAAAATACATTATGGGAGATTCGATAACGAGTTGGCAGTTCTCATTATAATAGTTAAAATCTAGATAAAGTAAAGGCAATTTGTTGAAAATTTCATTCAAATTGATCCACTATGAACCGAGAACTAAGCGTTTGAAATTTTCGCCTAGCCTCTATCATCATTACTAAAGCCAATACGATAAACAGCATTGCTCGATTATCCACTTAATCGTTCAATCGTGAAGGAAAGTTATGCAGTAAATAGGCTCTTAATCCACTTACGATCGCAGGCTAGCGATGCCATCTAGAGTTCATTATGGTCTGGATAGTTTAAATAATGTCTAATTCATAATTTAGATAACATTTCAGGCCTAAAGAAAGACCTGCAATAGACAGATTTAGCTCTTGCATAATGTATGTTTAAGGTAGAAATACAACCATATGTCAGTTTACATTATGTGAGTTGTATATTAACAGAAATGCCATGTGAATTATTATTATTACAGCAAATTGTAAATTAACTTTCAAATAGTGGCCACATGTAAGATTACATCAAAAGTACTGTAAAAATACAACCATATGTCAGTTTACATTACGTGAGCTGTATATTAACAGAAATTTCATTTGAAATAGTACTTTTACAACAAATTGTAAATTTACTGTCAAATAGTGTTCAAATATGTTATTCCCCTTCGACTACATATCGAATTTTGTGCCAAATATTTACTGTTATACCAGTCAGATTAGTCTGTTTTAGAGAAATAGGTTATTCAAAATCTGAATGCACCTAACTGGCGTATGGAGGTAGTAGTATGCCATACATAGGGTTGTGTGGGATATTTTGCTGCGTGTCATGCCTCCTACTCCTTCTATTGTAAGAAGCAGAACAGTAGGACATTAAATGTCTTTCCATTATCGAATGATGTTTTGCATGCTCGGCTGAAAGGTCAGCAAAACCTTATGTGTTCGCCAGGATCTAATTTAGGACTACTTAGACGAGTGGGGACAAGTATATTTGAAGTAAATATACACTTCAGATTGTATTTTTACCGTAAAATGACTGATAGAAAGTTGCAGGTAAAATCACTGACTTGTAAATGTACCCCTAAATGGTAGATTTAGATTTAGAAACACCACAGTGAGTGTAAAATAACTTTGAGGTAAATTTACAACCACAGTGTAAATTTACAGTGAACGTAAATTTACCCCACTTTCTTTTTTACAAGAACAAGTTATTTTACACTCACTGTAAATTTACATGCTGTTTGTAAATCTAAATCTACCACTTAGGTTTAAATTTACAAGCTAGTGTTAAAATTTACGGTAAAAATAGACAAATATTATTTACAGTGTATGTTTCAGGGTGGTTGTGTTACTAAAGCGTCTAGAAACTCAACGAAACGAATATTTAAAACTAAAGCTATCGTTTATTTCTAGTGTTAATATATACATATAGTGTATCTGAGCAATATAATAATAATCAATGCACAATAAAACAATCAATATTAAGCAACAGACTAATATGTGAAAGTTATATAACAAAACAAATCACTTTAAACTATCAATGGATGTAGTTAAAACAAGTATTGAATCGATCATATTAAAATTGTAGTTTTTAGTTTACTAATGCTAGGTTCCCTACGAATCATGGTTTTAATCGTGGAGTAATCGTGGTCATCCTATCAGGTCTTATGATTTATTGAGGCCAGTGGTAGCAATCATGTTGATCGTATCGAAACTATCAGCATGTTCCAGATCGTGGACTCATTAGTGGCCATCTTATCGTAACGCATCGCACGATAGTGGGAACCTAGCATGATATATTATTAATTGATAGTGATTAAAAATCATGGAGATTTAAAAATGCATTATGTAAGAGCTAAATCTGTGTATAGCTGGTCATTCTTTTCCCTTAAAATCTTATATACATTATCAATTAGACATTTACTGACATGGAAAGCCCATAATTAACTCTCTGGACTATAGCATGGCTATGATGTTTAATGGCCACATGATCGCCATATGATAATTTAATTTTTAATTAACAATCGAGCCCTTATCTTTATCGTAACTATGGTAGAAATGAAAATCGAGATTATATTTCCTTCGCATTATCTGTTTAATCTATCATAGCGAGAAGTTAGCTATATATCTACATATATACAATGCATTTTTAAATAAACACTTATTTTTTCCATTTTCTTTAATCAAAATGTACGTTTTTGTTTATATAACTAATGATCGATTAAATAAATACATGCGTTAAAATCTCGAGAATTTTAATAAACCAGATACACGTAGTAGTTTCGTGATAATATAAATCAATATATCAATATATTTTACTTAAAGACGCATTCCCACTAAGTATTTATAAGGTAGTTATTTCCCCCAAGAGCAAATGTGGTATAATATGGAAAGGAAGTCACAATCGTACCAAAACATTACAAGATTTCCTGACAAACACTCATTGGGCGCACATGGCAAAACTGTAAGAGCATCGCCGACTGGTAACCTGTCTGCTCGAGCGACGTATGGGGCGCTTTGTATGTTAGAACAATTGTTAGAACAATTAATAGACAGCGAGAATAGATAAATACACAACGAAGGTGGTCTCTCCCTCAATCAGATCACGTAACAAATAAGGATGCTTAAAATAAGATGTTTATTGCTTGGAGATATTCATTGGGATTCAGATGTTTTGAGAGGTATTTGAACCAATCTTTTAATAGATAAATTATTTTGAATATGTTTTAGCGGGAATGCAGCTTAAAAACAGTTGATATAATTTTCATTATTTCAGTTTTTAAAGATTCAATAAAATTATTTACCCAATCAATACCATTACCTATTCTTATAAATGAGCAAGAAATGGTATTTATTAGGTAATGTAGACAAATGTAAAAACATAACAATACAATAGTATAATAAAACATTTTACATAAAATAACTAAAGAGGTTTACCTTTAAAGAGCACATAAAGTGACCATATAGAAGTGGATGTACTTGGAGCCGGTGTGACTATATATATACACGTTACATCAATTATCTAAAGAACTCGAAATTTTCCGAAATGTCAGTGACCAAATATTTATTACGGATGATAGTTCCTCTACGCTTATATGCATTCCAATTACACAAACTTGTCGGCGCCTGGTTTATTTCATGACCACATGATGCAATTAAGTGCAGAATAATTTGATGCATATGAAATCCGCGTTTCGAATTTGTTATATAAATATGTACTAACCAGGACAGTCGCTGCGGTCATATTTCAGGGGCCTTTTAATCAGACTAAATAGTCTTCCGATTAAAACAAGATAGGTGAGAAATTATTATCGACGCTGCTAACATGAGCATGGGTGTTATTAAATACAATTCTTTCTGAACTCCAGTTCGTAATTAATCGAAAAAGGATGGCCCACCGCAGCACATGGCTGGGGAAGGCCGAACGAAAGGGAAAGCAGCCAAGCACCATGGTCTCGTGAGATGAGACAGTGTGCTATAGCGTGGTCGTGTCGTGTCAAAAAATAGTTATCGAACCAAAAACGGCGGGCTGTCGAGTAAACGATCTGAACAAACATTAAAAGGCTAGAAATCATTTGATTGGTCAATAGTTTAAAGCCTTTTACTAATGTTGTGATCACTGGTTGGTTAATACTTATTTGATTAATGATAATAACAGAAGTTAATGACCATATCTAAAAATTAGGTAAAGTTTTGAATAACTATATTCATGTCATTAAGATTTAAGAATTAAAAATTACTAATTCAAAAATTATTCTCTTCTCTGAATCCGAATGATTGACTTCACCAAATTATGTCCTTGAAGATTATCCAACCAGAAGTTATCTGTACCTGATCCGTCCATGGTTCCAGTAAGAAAGCTTCTGGTACAATTCAGGTCATCAGCAAACCACCATCCCCCACCAAACCTTGACGCACAATTGTGAGTAGTGTGATCATTATCATATGTTGAAAACGGCTGACCTGATGCGTTAGCCAGAGAATCGCCACAGTGAGGGTCTTCATTGTCAAAGCGACTAGAGAATTCATAATCAATGCCATTTCCGAAATTGACATCCTTGTAAAGACTTTTACACTTACTTTCAAAACTATACAGGTTAACGTGAATGTTAATTTGCGAGGATGGGATAGCGATTACTTTCATCAGTTTTTCTAAGCCCAGCCATTTGTTTCGTAAATGAACACCAAACCCTTCTTCGTATTCTGTCCAACTGCGGTTGAAGTTTTCAAATGAACAGCTCTGGTCTCTCTGCAATATAGTTGTCCATCCACCATAGCCTAGGAAACACATCACGTCAAATGATTTTAGTGAGAGCGGTGGTTTGATTGTCGTGACAAGAATTTGTGTATAGTCCATTCCTCGATTAAGAACTCCGTCTGAACAATCTAAAAAAAATAGAAGTTGGTGCAAATAATGAATCTGGTCTTATATAGTATTGCCTTCTCATCTCTACACGATTTTACTGTAAACGTCTGATCATCCAAAGATTTTACTATACGCGCAATACATTAATTATATAAGATACAAAGTTCAAGATTCTACCCGATCAGTTATTACCGAGGCCTTAAAATCTTAAGATATTCATTTCATTGGCTTCCTTACATGCATAATTTTTAAATGACCCCATTCAAATGCCGTAAGCAATATATATATATATATATATTTACCTTTTATAATATTCTCACATTTTTCACCATAGTAACCAAGAGGACAGGTACAATTACCGTTGATGCATCCAATATCCTAAACAAAATCAACTCAAATTTATAATTTACTTTTTAAAATAACAGCGGACCGAGAAACGCCCTCCAGCAAATTTGTTTTATTGAGCTCATGCCCAGAGATTTTAGATTGAAATGTATTGTCATTAAGAACAAAAAGTAACGTCATTAAGAACAAAAAGTAACCAGAGTGAACACAAATGAATCACATACTACTGAACCACTATATCATACTACTGATATAGAGCACATCTTGCATTGAAACAAAAACTAAGTCTATATCCATGGGGGGGGGGGGAGTAACGTCCACTGGAGACAAACTAGGTCATTTCGAGACTAACGTATGGTTCAATTTTATTTCAATAATTCGCTTGCGCGTAGTAGTGGGGTGAAACAGAAGGACCCTGATAAAATCCACGATGTTGGACGTACAACCAGGGAATCGAAATTGAAACCACGCCAGTTGACTCAATGACACACCTTGCGATGCAGCGCACACGCGCTAACCATTCGGCCGTCCACCCCCATGTCCATGGAAACAAAATTGTATTAATTCGGAGAAATTGCAAATTACAGTAAAAGGCCTGACAACTGCATTAGAATAATGTGTGTGCATAGTTTCATAAAGAGACCTTGAACACTTTATGGGATATGCTACGGAATAAAAATTGTATACGAAAACCTAAGTCAAATTTGTTTCCATGGACACGCATACTATCAAACCTGACAAATTTCAACTAAGCGAAAGGCACAACTGCTATAATTCCCATAAAGATATCTTGAAAGGATTATTAGATCTACTTCGTAAGCAAAGTCGGTACGGGGCCCTTTTTCAATAACCCTACGTAACTTCGTTTACATAGTTTTAACCGAGTTCGCTCATGCACGCGAATGGACGCTAACAATGCTCTGAACATTATCAAATTTTTTTGTGAAAAAACAAAATCTCGTCTTAAGAGATAAGTTATACACAAAGCAGAATATATATCAACACAAATTCCGATTGTTAAATATGTCACCGATTAATAACTGAAACACTCACCTTTTTAAAACACGAACAATCTGAAGAATCGCCGGATTTCACACAAACTGACCCATCTATAAATAATTTACACGTGTGCGTATGTGAACAGTACAAATATAATCTACAGTCACCATCAGCATTACAATATTGTGCACATTCCCATATTCTGGGTACCTGGGTTATTGTGCTAATAGTTTGGGACAGTTCACAAGAATTATCCAAAATGGTAGTTTTGCTGTATGCGGCATATTGTAAGACATCCACCAGACCTACCTGTATGCCAACAATGTATACATATACATTAAGAATTAAAGATTTCATTGTACTTCCTATTTACTGTGCGTGGTTTATAAAGTTATTTCTTTAAGTCCTATGCATGAAATCGTTATATCCCCCAAGTCTTCCTTTAGCATAAACAACAAGTCTTTATATATCATACAGAATCGTATTGATTATGTCTTATATCTTTTAAGGCATGCGCGTGTTTTTCTAAAAAATTAATGGCTAATGGAAATGCAAATCTATAATCGTATCGACTTGCAAACTATTGATAATTCTAGACATTTTGTTTGATCTCAAATCGGTATAATAAACATAATGTATCGCAATAGTATGATAGACGGGGTGGTACTCACAGATCTTTTCTGCGTTGGGTTCACTTGGTCACGTGTTGAGTAAACCATGAACCTTTGCAGATGGGTACCAAGGACCATTGTACAAAACGGACCCGAAATATGAAAGATCTTCATTGGCTACTGGTAATATTTCGCATCTCTTTTAAATCACTGTGCAGCATATATAAATCACTAAACTCCAATACACATCAACAATCTAATCTGGGATCTTGCCTTTCTATCCCCAAATTTAACAAACGTGTCTATAATTCTGGTAAACTATGGAACAATCTTCCTATAACCACTAGACAGATTCGTATCATAATTTTTAATTCATCTTATCAGACATTGTCATGATTAGTTTTGCGTTTTGTGAAGCGCTTAAAGTAGCTAAGTCTCTAACTCAATATCATTCGAAGTCTTACACGTTGAAAACACGAATTATTTGTCAATTCAAATCAACATTGATGTCGTCATCTTACCTTGAAAAGGTAGGCTTCTGATATTCAATCATTAAGACAAAATAAACATTTCATTATTGGTACACGAATCGTGTACCATAGTGCGTTTCGGCGTCATTTGTAACAAGTGACCAGAAAGAACGAGGCTACACATATTTCACAACCCATGTCAAACGTCGACGCCATAACTTATCTGGACAGCATGCGCAATAGACTGGAATAACCAGACGCTAGAAATTTCTATTCGGTTTCGCTGGATATAACTGATTTGAAATTAGAGTAAAAACGGAAGCAATTGAATGTAAATCAGTTCATATACAATCAGATTACATTATTATATACGGTGCGACCCATTTGGGTCAATTTCTAGCTCCCAAATATAAGCGATTTAGCTCCTTTAAAAGAACATATCTATGTGTAATATAGCGGTATAAAAATGAAACGATAATATTAATATTAATAACTAGACTTACCAAAGTGACAAGTTTGAGAGTTTATATACTACATTATCACACAATTATACATTAATTACAAATATCTAGTATAGCAAAGTAATATGCAGTGTTAACCTTGAAACCACTTTTAGTATCATACAGAAAAAAGAATAATTAAAATCCGTCAAAAAGTCGCTATGTTATATAGAAAACCATTTCAGCCCGGCAAAAGTTCCTTTTTATTAAAAGATGCACAACATCTTTGTTTACAAAACGATCTTGACAAATCCTTTAGAATAAGCACCAAACGACTTAATTAATTACTTAATTAATCAATATGTTACATGATTTCTAAGTTTTACGCTTTTTATTTTTTGTTTAAAGTCAATTTCATGACGTCATTTAAAAACAAATCTATGTCAAATATCAAAATTATAAATACAACGATCGATTACTAATAGTAAATGGTTTCCAAAGATATAAAGATATTGAACATCGGATATTAATTATAGGTCGAGAAAGATTTCAAATATCGATTTCCCTTTTTAAAATGGTGGCACTTCCTGTTATTTTAACTTGAAGAGATTGCTTTAAAAATTTGATAGACGACTAAAATTAAAGAAGGTGAAAATCGTCCAAGGTTTCACAACGGAGATAATCGGAAATTAATTTTAGGAGGTAATGTAGACAACCGACATGTCGTCTTGACTACTACTTACTAAAATGACTTATTTTCACTCTAGAAACATTAAACCCATATTTTGGTTAACATTTAAACATGCGTCCGATATTAAAGATGCTATGCCATGCTCTCTCAGAATATTCATTTATTCGAAGTTGCACAGAATCATTTTACGAACCGATTTGGATACAACTTTCAGAATAAGCACCAAATGACCCAATTAATCGATTATCACTAACATTTTAACTGATTTCAAAGTTTTAGACTTTATAAAAACAAATCAATTTATGGCGTCACTTTAAAAAGAATTATAGGCCAATTATCAAAATTCTACTGTTAGCGATCGATAGCTAATCGTTAATGATGTCTAGAAATATAAAGATTTTGAAAATTTGAATAGAATTGTAGGACGAGATAGATTTTAAAGATTGACATTCGTTTTCAAAATGGTGGCACTTCCGGCGAATTCTATCTTGATGAGATTACTCTAAAACGTCGATAGACGACTCCATTGACAAATAGTTTTAAAAAATCTCAGCAGAAGAATAGAACGTTAAACCCCATTTCGACAAGACGACAAAATACAATAATTTCGACTTCACAATCCGACAAGTCGAGAATGTAGAATGGCCGCTAGCAGCCACCATAGATTTTCAATAAGCTATTTGTTTAACATTTCAAATTCATAAAACGCATTCCAAACAAAAACAGAAACACGCGATAGCTAAAACAAAATCAAAACCATATTCCTTCCTCTGTGAATTAAATAAAGAAAACACACATTCGTAATTAATAACACATTCTTCTTTGTAGGAATTCAAAATGACTCAAATTTCATCACATTTCGGATAAATATTATATACATGTAGACAACAATTTAGGAAGATAAACCTGAATTTTGGAATTGTCTCTGATTAAAAATATCTACCAATTTTGGGTCAAACAAATTAAAGCGTCAATTTGGGGACTAAAGTATGGTTCAATTTTATTTCAATAATTCGGTTGTGCGTAGGGTCTTAACAGTGGGAGGGTCTGGAGAAAACGACGCCTCTTGACTCTATGACAAGACCTTGAGATTTCACGCGCATGCGTTAAAAACTAGACAAACCCGGCAAAAGATTAATTATAATTCTTAAACCAAGTGACTTGCATATAATAACGAGTCTATATTTCATATATATAATATCTAAATGTATTTCAGTTCGTATTCGTATTTATATGTCCACAGTTGGTCTTATTATCTAAAATATTTAAACCGGTATTATTTAAGATGCTTCCTTAATTGAATAGATGAATAATTTCCGTGTTTAGTTATCGTCTTTATGCCCAGACTTGATAATCGTTAATCCAAACTTCTAATGGACGTGAATGAATTCAAGCCTATATTGTTTACTTATATCTAACTAAACATGCATTATGCAAGAGCTAAATCTGCCAATTGCAGGTCTTTCTTTAGGCCTGAAATGTTTTCTAAAGTATTAATTAGACATTAATTAACTGATCCAGGCCTTAATCAACTCTCGATGGCATCAGATTTCTCCGATATTAAATAGATTAGAATGGTTCAGCGATACTTTGATTTAATCAAATATGGAGGACCGAGACTTAGCTTCGATCAACCAGTACGGTGGTTGAAATTATTGCACACGTCTGTCAAACCTTCAAAGGCTAATATCTTCGCTTGCAATAGAGTAATTTGAATGAAATTTTCAAATTATTCATTTTACATCATCTACTTTCGAACTATTATAGCAAGAATGGCTAGTTCTTTATCTAAATCTTAACATAATGTATCTTTAACATTCAGTGTTAAATAGGCAATATGTAAAATCAGGTAGAAAGAGCTGACAGTCCTCGCTATAAAAGTTTAAAAATAGAAAATGAAGAAGGAATATATTGAAAATTATTACTTTATTCTAAGCGAAGTAGTGGATGTTTCAATAATAGCATGGTCTCAATTTTCATTGCTACTGTTGTTACAATATTAAACAAAGTCTCGTTTATCCATTTCTCAATTAAATTAAAAATGGTGTTTCAATCTATTCCATGAATTACTAACAACAGTACTCATTCGATGCGTAACCAGTCCTAATGTCGTCAGTGTGACCACAGCCTAAGTCTAGTAGAGATAGCCAATTATCCCAGCACTGAAGTCCGAAAATGTAATTCCACAAGAGCCGATTCAAAAGCCCAATAGGTCATGGAAACATAATTTTTATGTATCCATGTAATGACCAGAAGAAAAATGTTAATACCGAGGGTTAATAAACTCATCCCGATGTCATTCCTGTGTTATCACATACAAGCTGGGAATCGAAACCGTCACTGAACTTAGTGTCAGACCTTATGATCTAAAGCATACACGATTCTATTTCTTGTAGATGTATTTATTCACAAAATGATTCATTTTCATTCTACAAGAATAATCTCACAGGATATTTACAGTTTGAAAGTTGTATATTTAAACATATACACACACCCACTCATTCATACACATGCACATATTTAAATAAAAGCATACTTTTCGGTTGATATATCATTAAAATATATAAATCTGGGTAATCCACTAGTAACGTCAATGTTGATTGGTTAATCATGTCTGACGTCAAAGGTCAAAAGTCGGTATTTTGACCCCTGACGTGACCTATCGCTATAACTTGTCAGATCTTCAAGTAGTGTAGGCCATCGAAAGTAGAAAAAAACGAAACGAAATATAGATCTGTATTTTAATCAGATTGTAAAATATATCTATTTTGCTTTGGTTAAAAGTTACTTGTGATAAGTAATAATAAAGTTGATATATGCATGTATATAGTTGAAATGAGTTCTACCGTCATGTTAAAATACATTAAATAAGACTGCGTTAGAAAGCACAATTCCATATTGTAAAAAGTTTCGCTCAAAACCCCAAATATAAATATATTTCAAATAGCTTTGAAACACGTGGGCCTTAAGAGAGCAAAACTTTGCGAAAATTCTCGAGGTAAGTTAGGGTGTCCAAGAGAATTATCATTTATTTTGAAATTTTGATTACTATAGAATTGAAAATAATATTAAATACTCCAATGAGAAATTATATAAATATAGAATTATTCAAAGAAGATATGAATCATTTATTCTTAACATGCCCTGACGCGTTAACATT